GGTGATTCTGATCTGCATCTTCCTGCACAGTCCCTGAATTTTTATTTATTTTAATTCTCAAATTGCTCTTATGACTGCTGACGGTTCATTTTCTTCTAAGATTATTGTTTCTAAAGACTTCCCTTTGCCTGTATTGAATTGGCAGCGTATAATTGCTTGTTTTTGAACAAGGGCACCACATTTGCAGTCCTTCAGTCAAAAAAAAAATGAATTCGGTGTAGAAGTAAGCCAGTTAGCCCCTCAAGCCTGCTCTGCCATTTACTAAGACTATTTACCTCTGATAACCTTTGATTCCATTGCCTAATAAATATTTACCTACCTCCTCCCTAAAAAAAGGTTCAGTGATGTTACCTCCATCACCTTCTGAGGCAGACTGTTCCAAAGTTGCAACCCTCTGAGTGAGAAAAAGATTCTCCTGGATTGTCCTAAAAGAGCAACCCCTAATTTTTAAACAGCATTCCCCAGTTCCAGACTGACTCACAAGAGAAAATTTCTTTTCCATGTCCAACTTATCAAGATTGTTCAGGAACTTTTGTCATTCAATCAGGACACCACTCACTTTTCTAAACTCCATTGGAAACAAGACACCAATGTTCAACATTTCCTCCTGAGATGACGCCCTTATTTAAGTTATAAATTTAGTAAACCTCCTTAACCACTCCAGTATATTTATACCCTTCCTTAAATAAGCACACAGTATTTGATATATGACCTAACCACTGCCCAGTTTAATTTACTTTTATGTTAAAATATTCTCATCATAAAGGATAATATTCCATGAACCTTGATAATTACTTGCCGTGTTCTCATACTACTTTTTTGTGACTCATGCGCTAGAACACTTGGATCCTTCTGCACTACTCAGAATTTTACAGTCCTTTCCTGTTTAATTAATAATCTTTTTTGTTCTTCATGCCACAGTGAACAACCTCACCTTTTCTCGTAGATTGCTATATTTACCAGAATTCTGTACACATATTTAGCCTTTCCGTCTACATCCTGCTTATGTCCTCTTCACAACATACCTTCCTATCTATCTTTGTGCCATCTAAGTCATTGTGATAAGTTGTAATAAGCTCAGGTCCAGTACAAGCCCCTATCAGACTCCATTCATCATCCCCTGACAATCAGAAAAAGGACCATTTGTGCACGCACTATTTTCTGCTAGTCAGCCAATCTTCTATCCCTGTTACCTCCTACACCATAAGTTCCTAGTTTGCACACCATCTTTTGATATTGCCTTGTTGAAATCCAAGTGCAGTATGTCTATGCCCATGTTAGTCCTTCAAAGCATTCCAATAAGTTGGTTAAACCCCATTTTCTCTTCACAAAATCATGGTGACCTTTCCCAATTTTCCTGAATTTTTCAAAGTGCCTAGGTATAACCTACTTTAATGATCAATTCTAACATTTTCCCCATGACAGATGTCAAGCTCACTGACCTATAGTTTCCTGTTTCCTGCCTCCACCACCCCCTGCCCTCCTTGAATGGAGGCATTATATCTGTTACTTTCTCAGTCTGACAGATCCCTGCCAAAATCCAGCATATTTGGGAAAAAAAACACCAATACATCTACTATGTCGTTAGACACTTCTTTAAAGACCTTAGGATGAAGTCCAGTAGGACCTGGAGACTTCAAGCTACATCTCCATAAGTTTGCTCTCTAGTGAATGTAATTTCACCAAGTTCTTCTGACATTACCCTCACTGAGGTCTGGAAAATTGGGGCCAGCATCTCTGCACCTTTCTGCTCATACTACCCTCAGCAACTCAGAATGCATCTTCTCTGGACCAGGTTGTATGTAATAAGGTAATCCATTCTCAGAAAGGAAGGAATCACGTTAAAAATAGTCCCTCTGCTAAGCTAGTAACAAGGCTGGGACTGGGAGGAATATGTTAACTAGGCAAATGAGCAAGCATGGTACAGTTTGGGAAATCTGCCAAATTCATAGCTGGTAACACACACCCTTATTCTTGTGATTGCTGACCAATATTAGCTTCTGCTCAGATGAGAGAATTCTCCTTACTTTCAAATTTCTCTAGGCGTCGCTCCTCCCTAAACTGCCTTCGATCTCTTCCAACCCTACAGCCTTCCACGATGTCTGTGATTATCTAATTCTGACCTCATGTTGTTGCACCTTTGGTGGCCTTGCCTGCAGCTACTTAGACCCGCAACTCTGGAATTCCATTGCAACGCTTCACTGCCTTTTTACTTTCCTTTCCTCCTTTAATATTTTCCTTAAGATCTACCTGTTTGGCCAAGATTCTGGTCACTTGATGTAACATCCTGTTCTGTGTCTTGCTGTCATAATTTGTTTAATAATACTCCTGTGAAATGCCCTGGGATATTTTAATACGTTAACAGTGCTAAAGAGTTATCAGTCATTAACAGGGAAGGGTAATTGCTCATAAATCTTTTGTTTTTCAATAGAGGTCAATCCTATATGTCGCCTGATAGTTAACTGGCTCCCCCATACAGTTTTCCTAATTCTCGTCCTATTCCATATAATTTTTCTTAATTTTTATACAGAGCTATGTAGTTAGGAGCAGGAGTAGTCCATTCAACCCCTTCAAGCCTGCTGTGCCATTCATTATAATCCCCCACAAACTATATCCTTTGATCCCTTTAGCCACAAGCTATATCAACGTCTTTCTTGAAAAGTGATAATGTTTTGGTGTTAACCACTTTCTACAGTACTGAATTCATTGTGTAGCTCCACCAAAGAGGCAACACCAGATATCATGGGCTGAATGGCCTCCCGCACTGGATGATGCTGTGTTCTGTTTGTTAAAAGTGTTTTTGTTTTTCAAACAGCTTGATTCGGAGTTGACAACTCGCCATGAACTACAGGTGGAAATGAGGAAAAAGGAAACAGATTTTGAAGTGAAACTCTCAGAACTTCAAGCAAAGCAACAGGTGCTAGAAACAAATAAAATTGAGGTGGAGACTGAATATAAGAAACTGCTGAATGAGTATAGTCGACTAAAGGATGAGGTAATTCACTCAAAATATTTATAATGCAAGTTAACTCTCTGAAATTGCAATCCCTCACCTGCTTTCCTCATAATTGTTGACGAGGCTGAGGAGATGATCTAATCAAGGTGCTTAAAATGAGGAATTTAATACATTGGATACAGAGAAGTGCTGTTAAGAGGAAAAATAGCGGCAGTGTGGGGTACTCATCTTAAAATTAAAGCCAGATCATTTATGGGTAAAATCAAGAAGTACTTTTTTTCATACAAAACATGATGGAAATTTGGTCCTTCCTTCCTTTAATTGAAGCTTTCAACAATGACAGCAATAGATTTTTCTTGTGTAAGAGTATCTGGACTGTGAAGCAAAGACAGCTGAATGGACATAGGGACATAGTGGTGATCAGGTGGAGTGTGAGGGCAGACTTGCGTTTGGATTGAATGACAGGAAAGGCCTGAGAGAGCTGACTGGCTACTTTCAATTCCCATGTTTCCATTTTTGTTTATTTAAAACAATCTATTAACTATTATTTGAGTGAATGAGAAGACCCACAAATAAACATTTGTAATTTGTTCTCTAGTTAAAAAATAATAAGAACAAAACATCAAAAATAATAACTTGCACAGCTGTTGGATTATACAGTACAATTCAGAACTGTATACCGACTAAGCTCTGAACAGTAAAATTCAACTGGCCTGGAAACATGATGGGCAACACTTGATCAACAATTTGTTTTACAGTCTTTCTCATATCCAGTGTTCTTTTTATTAAAGACAAATAGAAAATATAACCTTGGTGAAGGAAGTGCATACTGGGTGACGCATACATTACTGTGCATTTCTATCCCTGTCTAAGTAATATTTTAACCACAACATTTTAATTTTAATCACCTGCATCCATGCTAAAGATAACAAGGTGTAGAGCTGGATGAACACAGCAGGCCAAGCAGCATCATAGGAGCAGGAAGGCTGACGTTTCGGGCCTGGACCCTTCAGGCCATCTTGGCCTGCTGTGTTCATCCAGCTCTACACTTTGTTATCTCAGAT